ATTCAAATCACAGCTCGGTATGCATTGTGACGTCATGTGTCACAAAAAATGTTATAGTTGAAGAGAGAGAGAGAGAAATAAGACATTTTTTTTCTAGGTTTTTAATTCACAATAACATTAAAGTAACAAACATGGAATACTTTGACATAATTCTTTTTGAATAGGAAAAGTTCTCCTCATGTACAAATATTCTGTTTCACAAGCACAGTCCATGATGTCGTATCCTTCTTTGAGCACTTTATTTACATAATCTTTGATACAATCACGGATTTCTTCCATCCATTTCCCTTGAATCCAAGTCCTTGCTGGTCCCTCTGGTTTGTGAGCGAAAACGTATTTTACTTTCCATTTGAATTCCTGATACTGGGGTTGCCATGGCCCTAATATTACTTTTATAAGTTGTCCATATTCATGATCCGGTAATTTGATTCTCTTATACAGGTACACATCATTGACTCCTGTTTCTCCCGGATTCTTATCCATGCAATCTTGGATACATTCATCTTTATTTTTCATCCATTCTCCTTTTTTAGTGGAACCTGTATGTTCTTGCATTTTCCAACGATACTCTGAGCTTAAAAAATCCATGTTGTTCTATCCTCAGTCAGATCAGAAATGAATTTTTTTTTCCCCCATTTTATATATATACTCTGTGATGTATCTATTTTAAGACATTAACCCTGTGTATTGGTGGTCTTCTTAGGGGTATGATGCATCATCGTAGGACTAGGCATGATATAACCTACTGAAGAACTGACACATACCATCCAATATTCTCGATTAGGATCGTGTAAAGCTAACATGACCACACTGGTGATGATGAGAGATACACAGATAAATAATTGGGCGAAATAAACGATTTCTTCGCGAGGAATATTCTCTCCACAAAATTTCCAATGAGGCGTTATTTGATGAGATCCGTTTGGGAAATCCATGAATCAAAACTAGGGGGATATCCTTTCCACCGAACTTTGACTTCTTGAATGATTTTTTTCCCGACGCGTCGCTTTTTATACCCCAAGATTTCCTCCACTTCGTACACGTCGTCTTTTTTAATGATCTTTTGTAATTCTTTTTCGTAAAAAGTCCCTTCTAATTCCTCTCCGTTATAATCTTGCACTCTATACACGTAAGGATACCTTCCAGGAACTCTTTTAGAAATGGTAAACAGTTCTGTGGTCCAGTTAGGTAAATATCCTTTTTCAAATGTGCGCTTGGCTTTACTGATGCGGACCTGATCTCCTTCTTTAAACTAAGGTTTAAGAAATTGTTTTCGATTCGATGTCCCATATAAAGTTTTCCAGACTTTTAACACATTAGAAGCATTCACTTGAACTGGGGCTCTTTTGATACTCCGATGATAGGTATGATTGTAAGCATACACTAAATCCGGTAAAACTTCTAAATACCGTCTGGTTTTATGACGAGTAAAATAACGCCACAGGCGTGCTTTGAGTGTACGCTGAAATCGTTCCACGATACTGGCTTTAGTGTCCGTATTACGAGTAGTAAAAAAATGAATTGATTTAAAAGCTTGTAAGAATTCTCGATTGGTAAATTCTTTTCCTTGATCTGATTGAATGCGGACGGGACGTCGACCGTCTTGTTGAAAAATCTCTTGTAATCCTCGAATCATTTCTTTTCCTGTTTTCTGTTTTAAAGGCACTACCCAGGCATATTTAGATAAGACGTCAATGGCACATAATAAAAACGTATATCCATCATTATGTTTCTTTAAACTGGACACATCTGCTAAATCTAATTGCCATTGTTCATCTATATCGGTCACTCTAGTCTGTTGTCTCCGGAATTTTCTTTGAATGGGTTTATGTAAGGTATAAGTATCTTGCTCTTTTAACCATTCTCGAATCTTTTTCAGGGAAATTCCTAAAGGTTTGACCTGACGATACAAAGCTTGTATTCCTCCGTACCCTCTTTTAGGATCATAATAAATCTCTTTTAAAATATCTTCCACTTGTTTCTTTTTCATATTTTAGGCAATGAAAGCCAATTTTCGTCGATTTGTCCTAATTTCTTTTCTTCTTCCTTTTTAGCTTTAAAGGCTCTTATGTCTTCTTCGACTTGGGCTTTTAATTTCTTTCGAGCTAAAGGACTATATCTGGATCCTACCCTTGTCCCTACAGGGGTTGAAATGGGTTTTTTAATGACGGTTCCTCGATCTTCTATAGGTCTACTCACTGGAGTGTCAAAAAAGGAAGAAAATCCACTATCGTCTATTTCGTGACTTTTAGGAGTACTGATTTTTCCAGGTCTCTGCATGGCTTTTATAAGGTTTCCATTGCTCACGTATTCCAGAGGAGTACGCATTTCTTTTAAAGCTTGAGCAAATTGTTCTAATCCTGTAGGAACCGGATGAGTTTTACGAGAATAAGATCTCATACTATCAGCCATTAAATCCATAATGTTAGAATCGGGAATTTTTTGACCTCGATAACTAATTTCATCTTCTTTATTCCAAGTTAATACTTTAGGGTTTTTCTTTAAATGATTTAATAATAATCCAGCTTTTCTCTTCATGTTTTTATTCACTGTTTCAAGGATTTCATCGTCAATCTCAGCTGCTGGTAATGCTGCTGCTGCTGCTGGGGCTGGAGCTGCTGCTGCTGCTGCTGCGGCTGGAGCTGCTGCTGCTGGAATTTTCAGTTTAGAAATAGGTTCCTGTCTAGCTTGTTGTAAATAATTCCTATATCGATGAAGTTCCTGGCCATATAAAGCAACTTTTTCTTCTGGGGTTAAATCTTCACGTCTTGTAATCTCGTCCAATTCCTGACCTAAACTGATGGTGGATTGAAATTCCGGAGGTTTGGGTAATTTGGCCTTGAGATCATTTAATAAGACTTCGGGAACTAACACCATTTTACGACTCATATTTTTTTTTTCTTCTTCTTCTTGAGGACTTTATAGACGGATTGACCGGCATCCAACAATAAAGGTGCTGCTGAGATTAATAAGGGTAAAATGTTTCCTCCTTTTTGTTGAAGTAATAAAGCTCGTCGTTTCTGGACAGATTGAGGTTTGACCAGTCTCCTGAAGATGTATTTCTTAGGAGCTAGTTTTCGTTTATGAGCCGAACTAAGAGGTAACACTCCTTTTAATAGGTTGTACACGATCTCGCAGATTTTGAGAATACAATCTCCAGAACAATGTTTTAAAATACCCGTTTTTAATGGAGAGGAATAGTGAGGGTCAGATAACACTCTTAAAAGAGGCCAATGAGGTTTTAATCGTGTAGAACAGCATCTTTTCTTCTTTTTCTTAGCCATCCTGGGGTTAAAATGAGGACATGTCCCAGGTTTCTCCCCTTTTTATACTCTCAAGGAGGAGCATACATGTCGTGTTTGGCCTTCTCGTGTTTGTCTCTATTTTTCTGGGTGACGTAGAATTTGGAACAATATCGGCATTTATATCTCATTCCTTTAGGAAGTTGAGGTGTAGAAGCGGTCAGAGGTTGAAAGCGTGCTATTTTAGGAGTGTGAATGGGTACTTCAATTCTAGGAGTGTGAATGGGTACTTTAATTCTAGGAGAGGGAATTCCCACATTGACTTGAGGAAACATTTCTAAATCGGGAGCTCTTTGACTGCCTATGGGTCCCATAGGACGATCCATTCTCATTTCAGCTTGTTTTTTTAATAATTCCCCAATAGTTTTTTGTCTTTGTTCTTTATAATACTGATTGATTTCGTTTTTTAAACTTTCAGGCATGGCTTTTCGTTGAGCTGGAGTTTTGGGAGTCGTTTTTTTCTTTCTACCACCAGAGGCTTTTCTTTGAGCAGGTTTTCTCTTTTGAGGTTTTCTCTTAGGAGGTTTTCTCTTCTTTCTGGTCTTTTGAGCTGCTCCTCCTACTCGGACCATCCAATCTGGAAATACTCTTTGTTTCTTATTATTGACTCGCACTACCACACTTTTTAAACCACGAACACGTCGTTTTTTAGGTGCATTCCATTTAAATAAATGACGAATAATGACTCCGCCTAGAAATCCGGCTCCTCCGCGTTTTAAAATGGCATTTTTCCTGTCTTGATCACTCGCCGACTTATCGGCTATGATACTTAAATCTTGACGATGATTATTAATAAACTTTTGAGTCTGTTTATTGATAGGTAAGACCCCACGTATCAAATTTCGAGCTCCCATAGCAAACCAATTCAATAAAGCTTTACGCCCTAATTCGATTAAATGGGCTCGCTTGGCAGGATCTCGCTCCTGCTGTAAACGTCGTAACGTTTTCACTAATTTACTCTTGGCTGAGAGAGGTCGACCCATGATGACTGTATAATGATAAATGACAAGTTTAATGTTGGTACATTTTTATTTATACTCTTGTGGCATGTGTATAGTTAACAATTCAAACAATCGACTTCTCAATCTGTATTCGTCTGGGGTCTGTGGATTCAAGTCAACCAGGAGATACCCGTCAGGAACACTGGTGGCTTCCTGATAGGCCGACATCAAATGAGGTAAGGCTAACTGTCGACTCAAGACACTGATTTGAGATTTGTCTCTGGGATTTTTAAACAACACTAAATAATGAGCATTCAAACTAATGGTGCGATACTGTGGTGCCCGATCAAATAAATTCTGAGTGATGTAAATCACACTGGTATTCCGATGATGCGCTTTACGGGTAAACCAATCCACGATCGATTCGATGGCTCTTCCTCCCAACATGTCGTCAAAAATGAGTAAGTGAGGAATACTTAAATTGGCCACTAATTTCTCATCGTCTTCTGGAATATTTCGAATGAAGGAGACCTGATCTGTTAAAGAAGTATAAGCAGGTTGCCATTCTCGATAGCACCAGACAATTTTTTGTGGCATGGGGGTAATCCAATGTAAATTTTCCACTAATTTCTTAACAAATTCCGTTTTCCCCGATTTAGATGGTCCTGCTACCACCATGGTAAATTCGTGTTTTAATTGAAAAGACGGGAGTGTCTCGTCAGGTTGCATGATGATAAATGAAGAGAAAAATAGGGTTTCAATCCTTTTTATTAAACACAGAAATATACGTTGGGTTCTCTTCACATCGGATCGACAGATGGGACAATACCGGAAGGTGGGAGCACATAATGAACAGCAAACATACGTGTCCACAAGGGAGTAAAGCCATTTGTAATTCTCCCTCTAAACAAATGTGACATTTTCCTGTGGCCTGAATCTCTGTAGAGGTTTGGTTTAGTAGAAGTTTAATTTGAGGTGAAAGTTTGTATCCCAGCTGATCTAAAGAGATAATGAATACATTCATCACCCACTCACGTCCTTTATAGGTATTGATGTAAGGACAATTAGGGTTCCAATAAGCATGTTCTACATAAGGATCGTCCTCGGGATCCCAGTTGGTGAAATGCAAACCACAATGAAAACAAATGGTCTTATCACCCACTCCCCTGTAATAAAATCCGGCTTTGGCTAGGTTGGGTAATAATCTTTTTAAAAGCTCGGGCCATCCCTCTTTAAAGGTAGCTTCTCTCTTTAAGAGCAGAGCATAGTTAGGGTAAACAGGAGGCCCGTCTGGCTCCTTATTAACACTAGCCATGACTGAAGTGTTCAAATATGTTTGCCCCCTTTTTATAACCCCTTCATTTTTTAGGGGTTTTCCCCAATAATAATAACACATTTTTGAAATACAGTTTTTTAATAACCATAAGGTAAAGTATTATAATCATTCATTAATTGTCTCTTATCATAGACAATTCTATATTGTTTTTCTAAAGGTACTGTCTTGACTTCATGTTGACGAGTCCTCTGTATTTTGTAAGGATACGAGACTTGGATTTCATCCATTTCTTTCTTGAGCATTTTTTCTAATGTCTCTGGTGACACGATATTGGAAGCCCGATAATTAAGAGTCAATCCTTTTACTTTACACACGGAATTTCCCTTGGATGTGAGGTAAGCATAATTTTAAGGACCTCCTGACATGAACTTGATAATGTGGTCCCCGTCTAATTCATCGGTCCATTCTCCTAAACTGTGGCCAAGGGTAGGATTAAATTGTCCCTCCTTATGTTGGTATATGATACTGTCCGTATCGAAATAAAGGACCCGATTTCCTAAAGGTTGTAAAGTTTCGTAGAGGTGTAATCGGGCATGAGCGGTAGTGAAACAGGCCAGTACCACGTTTTCGAAGGGACACTCTTCTACGAATTCCTGTTTCTCTTGATAATTCACCAGCATCATGTCCGATTCGGGCTGCTCTTTATTTTCTAGCCCTTTGATGTCAATGGTCGAATCTTGTAAGAGTTGCTGTAATTCCTCTTCTTCGGTCAAGTATCGAGTTTTAGGTAATAACAGGCGTTGAGCGAATTTTCCCCACAGGTAATTTAAAAAGAGTTTGGCTATCGTTCTTCGCACCGGATTTTTTTCTATACTTAATAGGTCCATTCTAATGCCTTCTCCTTCTATTACTTTACGAATGTAATCTAGTTTTTGTTCCTCCGTCTGACAATCAGATGGGAATCCAGACGCTTCCTGTTTGATTTTTAAGAAGGTATCGATGTAAGATCTGAATAAATCTTGACTGCTTTCCGGAAATTGCCAAACCTCGTAAATCCGCTCTAAAGTATATCCCATGTCTAAGGCTTTATGTAATTCTGTAGTCACCCAAGTACCTGTAAGACTGCATTCCTGGTCTGTGTGTTGACATCGATGTTTAGAAGTAGAGTCCTGTCGTTCCGCACAGGTTCGACATAATGGAAATAGTAACTTGCCTCCAGTGCGATAAGGTAAAACGGGATGATAAAGGCCTCGGGGTGGTAAGACCCGACAGTGAATGAGGCCGAAATAAGTTCTCACGTCCTGGAATTGGTCTGTTATGATCTGAGGATGGCCCAAAGGAAAAGGTCTGTGTTTTAATACGTATGGGTATAAGGAACAGACGTCCACGTATCTCATGTCCCCCTCCTCACAATACAAGCGTGTAGCATTGGTCCGGCCTCCGTACAGGGCTTCTCGGGGGTTCAAAGGATCTGGAATGTCCAGGTCTCGTACATAATTCTGTAATGCCACCTCTCTTTGTACTTGTTGATCGAAATCGTGTTCCCAGATACTATGTACGGAGTACCCCATTTCCTCTAAGACCGTATTCCTCCTTAAAGTTTCCTCGTGTAATTCCTGGTAAGTAAATTGTGTCCGGTGAGGATGAGTTTCGGTCTGTAAATTGGGATAGCAAGTAGGGCATCCGTGCCAATAGCATCCGTAAAATTCGTAGATGGTACGAGTAGCTTCCTGGTATCCATCTACAGTATAACTTCCGATCTTGACTTCTCCTCCGTTTCTAGCATGTCGTATGTGAGATCCGTTCTGGTGACTCATCCAGGTTAGCCACCGACAGGCTTTGGAGGAATATTGACGTGCAGGCTGATACCCCATGTTGGGAATGATGGCAATGGTATCTTCGGGCATGAATCCTCGACGGTAAGCTAAATTGGCCGCACTGGCAAAAGTGATGGATTCCTGGAAGGGGTCTACATGGACCAAGGTCTTGAGAGTGGCTCGAAACTGAGCACAGCATCGTCGTAAAATATCGACGTCTGAAATACAATAGTCTAAAAATTCCTTCTGAAAATCAAATACTTTTCCGGCTTGTTGTTCCCCTAACAAAAAAAAATACTATAGTAAACTATAGTTAACTATAGTTTACTATAGTTAACTATAGTACCAAAGTAAAAACTTTGGAACTTTGATTTACTATAGTAAAAACTTTGGAACTTTGATTTACTATAGTTAAAACTTTGGAACTTTGATTTACTATAGTAAAAACTTTGGAACTTTGATTTACTATAGTTAAAACTTTGGAACTTTGATTTACTATAATGAAAACTTTGGAACTTTGATTTACTATAGTAAAAACTTTGGAACTTTGATTTACTATAGCGAAAACTTTGGAACTTTGATTAACTATAGTTAAAACTTTGAAACTTTGATTAAGTACGTAAAATCCTGTGGAATTATGTTTTTGATACCCATTCTTTACATTTTATATTTCAAGTTTAAGATTCATAAATGCTTTAGAGAACATTTTAAAACCCCGACCCCTCCCCTTAAAGAATAATGTACAAGATATGAATTTTAATGTAAAGGTTGTCGCTTGCGCCGATAAATAAGCAATATTTATTTCAATGTATTTAATCTTAATGTTATGCAGATGTAACGTAAGTCTTATTTATGGAGAAAAAATAATATATTGAAATAAAAATGTGTCATTTAGAATCAAAATATCTACTTCATCAACTTCAGTCAACATGTATTTTTTTTTAATTTATAAATGTAAAAATTGCATTTGAATTAACTACTTTGTATATTTAAATAAAGATGTACAACAAAAACCAGCCCCAACCAACCCCATATCCACCCCCTCCCCGAAAATGGCTGAATAATTAAAAAAAAAAAAATACATAACTTGTTAAACTAATGAAAAAAAAAACTTTGAAACTTTGATTAAGTATAGGGAAAACTTTAAAACTTTATTTAACTATAGTAAGAACTTTGGAACTTTGATTTACTATAGTGAAAACTTTGGAACTTTGATTTACTATGGTAAAAACTTTGGAACTTTGATTTACTATAGTAAAAACTTTGGAACTTTGATTTACTATAGTAAAAACTTTGGAACTTTGATTTACTATAGTAAAAACTTTGGAACTTTGATTTACTATAGTTAACTATAGTAAACTATAGTTAACTATAGTTTACTATAGTATTTTTTTGTTAGGGTCGTACCATTGGTAAAAAGCCTGTCGTCCACTTACAGACATGTCGTCCGGATTGTAGAATGCCGCTGGTGGATAAGGCCCCACATAATTCTGGTTCTGTTCTGTATTAAAAAAGTGAGGAAAATACCCTTTTTTCAGTTCCGTGAATCCGAAAGCAGAGGGCATTTTAGACAGAGCAAAAGGTAAAAAATTATACGAGTCGATGAATTTCAATCCGCAGATTTGCATGGATAAGATTTTACTGCCGTTCATGATGACTGTAGGCTTCATGCAGGCGGAATGCACCAGGTAATTTAAAATGAACTGTCCGTCATATCCTTTGAAATTGTGGGCAATGATGATGGCCTCGTCGTGTAATAAGGCGGAATTCTTATTTCCTGTGTCGGGCTGTAATAACCAGTCCATGAAGTGTTTTAAGGTATCTGGCCCTTTAAACACGTGTTGAGGGGGTCCCATGTGTCGACAGTGAGGACAGGGATCTTCTATGGGTAAGTGTCCGCAATGTTGACATACGCGGTGTGCCACACACAGATTAGGGACGTGGATGCCGTTTTCCTGTGTACATTCGAAATCAAAATAAATATAAAACTGTAATGTCTCTTTGCCTTTCTTTTTCTTTTTCTCAGGCTTCAGTTGAACGTAGCACTGATGATCCGTGTCTACAGTTTTCTTACAGAACTTACATTATTTCTGTCCTCCGCAATGATGATGAGGGAGTAATCGTTTAGGCATCCATTTCTCACAATGCTCGCATCGTACCATTAAACTGCATACCGTTGTGGCCGTATTCTTACTGTGAGGTCGTACATGGTTTTCGTAGCAAGTTCTGCTCTGAAAAAATCCCTGGCATTGATGACATTGAATATGGCTCCCGTCTGGAGGGCAGGGAGTGTCTGTTAAACAAAAGGAACATCGGTAAGGACACTTGGTACGATGGTCTGTGATGTTCCTGTACCCCACATAGCAATGATCACAGTAATATGGGTTGCCGGTCACAGCTGGCATAGACAAAATAGCATCGTAATGATGGTCGTCTAACAAAATGTTTAAATAAGTTCCATCTCCGCAGCCTTTGTAAAGGGGCTCTAAACTGAGTTTAGAGGAGGTGGACTTGAACTGATATATTTTCAGTCGATAGCGAGGGGCTAACACCTGTTGTAATTTCCCCCATTCTGCGGGTCCACAAGGCTGATGAATATCACAGCCGGCTTGTTCCATGAGAGCTATAGCTTCATTTTTCTGGTCTAAATATTTGTAATCTCCCTTCCGCATACGTAGCCATTGTTTTTCCCATTCAACTAAACTCTCTGGATTTTCCGGTTTTTGACTGTGTAACCGGGTGACTACAATGGCTCGAGCTAAACAAAATTTATCCCAAGGATTGTCGATCTGAACGATGCATCGTTATTCTTCTTTAAACTCTCCTTGTTGACCATCAGGTGTTTGGTATTCTGTCCACCACTGCCTTCTGGATATTTGACATGAAACATGTCGAATTCCATAGACCCGTCTCCCAGTTTAAAATCTTTCTTGGATTGTTTCACGGCTTCTATTTTATTTAAAATGAGGTCCTCGTTCAAATGTTTACATTGCGTAAACTCGTACCAAATGTCGGAATCCAGAGAAGGGTGGTGAATGTTCAGGCGTACATAATCGTTAGGGTTACACTGCATTTGATATTTGACATTCTGTAGCATGTCTCTAAATAATCGCCGAACAAAGCCTCTGTTTTCCTCCTCTGGAAATTCTTTAAAATTCACACTGTACACATCTTCTTTACCTTTAAATTTTCTGGAATGCTTAGCTTTATTGAGTCTCACTT